CCACCATTTCCATGCTTTAGTCTGTAGTGTTTTAACAATCCCAACCTCTTCTCTGACTCAAAGCTACATATCTTACACATCCATCTCATGTTGTGGCACCTTAAACAGACAAATTGACCATCTCAAAATTAAACTAAACTGCCACACAAAGAAATTATGTGACAAGTTAAACCTAATCATTACTAATTTGATCTTACCTTGTGGAGTTCAAATTAGCAGTCAGAAGGTCCTATGTTCTGTAAAAAAAAAAGAAAAAAAGAAAAAGGTTATCTATATGCTTTTCAACTAATTTCTACTAACCCAAGGATGCACACTGATATTAATTCTTTTTTCTTTTCTTTTTTTTTTACATATGTCAGCTCGGTGGCAAATTTAAAACAGGTCAATATGAAGACTTGAGTGAAATCGAGTGCGTATATCGTTTTTGTTTTTTTTTCAAAATACACCTCATGGCAGCGGTGCAGCAATTATTTTAAACTGGACCGTGGTCGTTTTATTCACAAAGACGTTAGTTAAGGCAGCAGGCGTGTGTTGTTTAGGTGGCCATCTAAGCTGTAAAGTGCTGTGGGGAATTCCGGACATACCTCCTGCCAGGAAAGTTAGTCAGCAAGTCTAGCAGGAAAATACACTATTTGCTAGCGCAGCTGTGCGAAGAAACTGACTTAAGTAGGTGAGCCAACAGGAACGTACAAAGTTTGTTCCGCTTAAAACTTACATTCATGGCTCCACTTCTTCCCGTTTCCGTCAAGTCTGCCAACCGTCTAAATGTGGAGAAAGACCGCTCAAATGTGGGGAGGGGCTTTGACGTCATGCTCCGAATGCAGAGAAGGTGGCCATATTCACTGATGTCACTCCATTACATTTTACTTGGAAATATCAACTAATTAAGCCAATGAATTGGTTTAGTGAATATTACTTGGATCGAATGATTCAATTTACATACAAAACTGAGGACACATAATTACAAACAATCCCCAAGTAATGCACTACAAGAAAAAATGCTATTTTAAAGTAATAGCACTGAATTTCTATTTTTTTGTAAAATTTATATAGCTAATTGAAATAATAATTACAGGGCCAAAAAAAACTTTATTCAGTGTATATATTTTTTTTTAATAACAGAAACAAGCAACTCTCCCAGGTCAGAGAGCTTCTGGAGAAGATTAATACCATGGTTCAGAGAAATGGAGGAGGATACTACGCCAATGCAATGTTCAGAGAAGCTCAGAGAGTCATGAAAAAAATAGAAGCCAACCTCTGGATTGTTCTTGATGGGAAAACCAGAGTTGGAAAGAGTGCAGCAGGAAACAGCATCTTGAGAGGAAAAGTATTTCAATCAACAGCTTCCTCTTCCTCTGAAACATCAGAGTGTCAGAAGGAAACGTCTCTCTTTGAAGGTAAAACAGTGGCTGTAATTGATACTCCAGGTCTGTATGAAACTAAACTAACTAAAGAGGAGGTGAAGAGAGAGATTGTTAGATGCATCTCCTCTGCTGCTCCTGGTCCTCATGTGTTCCTGGATGTGATCCAACCAAACAGATTCACCAAAGAAGAACAAGAAACTGTGAAAATCATTCAGAAGATATTTGGTGAACAAGCAGCTGATTACACAATGGCCTTGGTAATCCATGAAGATGATGAGAATAAAGACACCATAGAAGAAGCAATTAAACATCCAGATCTCAAAGACTTTATCAGCCAGTGCCATGGAGGATACCATGTTTTTAACAGCAGAAACAAGGATCGCTCTGAGGTCAGAGAGCTGCTGAAGAAAATCAACACAATGATTAAGAAAAATGGAGGATACTGCTACATCAACAAAATGTTTGAAAAGGTGGAGAAAGCCATAAAAACAGAGATGGAACGACCAGAAAGAAAACCCAGAGATGTCAGCCGAAGAAGCAAAATACAAAGCAGAAAGAAGGAAAGAGTTTACTCAGGGGAACTGGGATGACATTATTGCTGGAGCTGCTGCTGGTATTGGTGCTGGAATTGGCATTGAAGTAGCTATTGGAACAAGTGCTGGAGCAATCGGGGCACCAGTGGGGGCTGCAGTAGGAGCTGGAGTTGGAGCTGCTGTGGGAGTTTGAGTTCGTTTCACAGTAAAAGCTGTAACTTTGAAAATGAAGTTAATTGATTGTGTACACTAATACTCAGTGAAAATCAGCATTTATCAGCAGCTGGATAAAACTCAATTAACAAGACAATAGATGAAAAATAATAACAGTACCATTCACCTATTTATTTGAGTATGTATTAGAAAGAGAAAAAAATGACACCCAGAGAGAGAGACAACATAGGTTAACAATAAGGTTCTCTGGGACAACTGAGTTATTGTTGCTCCAACTGCTCCTAAAGTTGGCATTGGAATTGCAGTGCATCTTACTCCCAGTGCTAAAGATGCCAAATTTCAATTTAAGAGCATTTTGAAATAATTAAATGAGTAAGTCATATATGGGCAGTTTCAATGGGCCATTACTTTGAAAGACAAAATCAGAATTCCTTGAAATTGATATGTTGTCACTGTGGGGTTGGATACTGTTGATCTAACCTGGATTTATCCTGTTGAAACAGGAATTTTCAATTTAAGAGCATTTTGAAATCGTCCCAAGAGTAAGTCAGATATGGGCAATTTGAAAAGGCTTTTATTTTGGAAAGCAAAATCAGCCTGACTTGAAATTGATATGGTATCACTTTGGGGTTGTATACTGTTGATCTAAAGTGGAATTACCCTGTGGAATTTTTCTTTTTAGAGAAATCAGAATTAATTGAAAGATCATTTCCCGTATGGGCAATTTGAAAGGGTTATTTTTTGAAAGACAAAATCAGAACGACTTGAGATTAACATGGTATCACTGTGGGATGGAATAGTAATTAGTAATTATTCTGTGGAAACAGCAACGTGAATTTTTATGTATATAT